TTAACATTCTGGTTACTGTTTGTCCTAAATTATTACAAACATGTGATCAGCTAATGAAAGAAAATAAGAAAAACATGTTTTCCCCAATTCAATATGACTATAGAATAATAATAATAATAATACATTTTCATTATCATTATTATTAGTAGCAGTAATTATCATTTAAGTTCTAAGTTCTAAATTTAAATAAATATATATTACTATCGCAATACTAATATACTGCAAAAAAGATCATTTAATAATAATAAAACAATATTATATTATTATATTATTGGTAGTAGTAGCAGCAGTAGTAGTAATTATTAAAATTAAATAAATATATTACTATTGCAATACTAATATACTGCAAAAAAACGTAATAATAATAAAATATGATTACTATTACTATTAAAATTATTAAAATATAATCAATAAAGAAAGACTTCTATTGAAATAATACTATTATGCTGTAAAATAAAAATTAATTTCATAATAAATTATTTATTTATTTAAAATATTAAAATTAAATCAATCAATAAATATATTACTATTGCAGTAACACTATTATACGGTACTATTTAATATTATTATTCTTATTTAAAATATTTAAAAAATAAAGAAATCTATTAATAATACTGATAATATTAATAATAATTTTCACTTTTATATGCATGTGAGACCAGTTTTGTGCCTAAAAGACGGCTTTATGGGCAAATCACATTTAAGCTAAACCCATCTCTCAACTGGTAATAAAGTATGCTCTGTAAGCATGCTTATATGTAGTATGAAATATTTTATTCAGTGTAATATAATCTTTACATACTACATGTAAAATCTAACATCAAAAGGGTCATTTAACCTTTAACATCAGCCACGCCCCTGATCGCCACCTTTTACAATCACGAGAGCACACTGCCATCATACTCCTGTTATGATCCAATTACAATTATGATTTTATGAATACTGCATATTCTGCTTCAGCATTTGTAGTTATAGAGGATATTCAGGCGTGGGGTTTCACTTGAAACAATAAGACCTGCAGAATGAATAAAAGCAATAAATCTGATTGAATCATTTGATACAAAAGATTCAATTCACTGAAATTAATCAAAATCTATTCTCCACACTTATACCCAATTAGATCCGCCCTCTCTCCAAAACCACACCCACCAAAAACACATCAGCCAATCCGATATCAGCAAAAAACCAAACTTGCGAAATGATTGACAGTCAGAAGGACAAAAAATGGCCTAAAACTATTTTTTATAGCTGTTTTAGAGCCTAGGACATAGCACAGCCTACACACACACACAAATAAATAAATGTATGTATATGTGTGTGTATGTATATACTATTTAAGAACATTTCCAGTTACCGTCAAACACAATGCAACAAAGTGCAAAATTCAAAATACAGGTAACACCTGTAAAAAAATCAATACAGAAAATAATTTCATTTTGATACAGTACATTGTGCCCTATTTTAAGTTTGTGTGTGCTCATATTTATATTTTAATACTCTTTTGCTGCTTTACAACAACTGGTATCTTCTTCAAAAACATCTAGGCTCTATTCTTCAGAAACTGGTATGGATGATAATTGACAGAAATAGCAGATCTCATGATTTGAATACATCATATAATACAAAAAACAGGGTTAATTGTTGTGTTCGAGGCCAATAACAACTTTAAAACCAAAGAGCGGATTAAAATGTTTGGCATAGTTGTCCGTCAGCCGAGCGGAGTTTGACGAGATTAACGCGTCGCGTGCACTTCTCTGCCTGACCAGTAGGCGGCCACTTTTACCTCAGATGAATTTATCTTCTAATAAAACTCAAAACTACATCAATGTGTTAAAAACGCCATAAATGTGTAGCTTATGGACAAATAAATAACTAACCCTCACATTGCTATAAATGAAAAAAGAAAAAAAAATGACACTCACAAACTGTTATGATACCTGACAGAATCCCTTAATTGATTCAACAGACTTGGTTAACATCAAAAGGGGAAAAATCCTAAAATAACTCCTGCATATACGTTACAACCAATTGATTTGTTTATAAAGCAAACGTGAGACACATAAACGCATCACACAGTCACGGAGTCATTAAAGTAAGGTTAAATGACACTTACGACTCGCTTCTCGTCCTGAACAGCAGCGGTGAACGCTAGTAGTAGTTTTGCTGACATATGCATATTTCAAACAGTACAGTAGGCTATGTTACAGTACCGCGTTAAAGAGAGTCCCTGCCAAGCCTTAAGATCCCACAGATGGCACTTTAGCGTCGCATTTGAAGGCGTTGTGGTCATGTGATGTGTTTATTGTGTTATACGGCTCTGTACCTGCTTCTGCTCGGCGCTCCCGCTCTCTCCACCATCTCTGCCGGTAACCGACTGCACCACTGCCACACACACACACACACACACACACACACACACACGAGCTGCGCGAGGGTGCGATGTGATGTGCGCGTCTGGAGAAGGAGAGAGAGAAAGAGGCTGAAAGAAAATAACTGCAAGAAAGCAAGAGGTAGAAGAAAAAGAGATTAAGGAAATGCAAGAAAAAATAAAGAAACATGAACATGCAGCCAAAAGAATTAATTAAAGATGGAGAAGACGCAAGAAAGATGAAAGGTGAAAATGCACAAGAAAGAAAAAGAAAGTGCAGGAAAAACTTGAGAAAAATGCAGGCAAAAAAAGTAAAAATTATCATGCAGCTAAAGGAATGAAATAAAGATGAATAAACTGCAAGAAAAGAATAAGAAATTCAAGACGGAGAAAATGCAAGAAATGAAAAGAAGAAAGATGAAAAAAATCCGAGAGAAAAAAAATGAACATGCAGCTGAAAGAATTAAATAGATGAAAATGCATGAAAAGATGAGATTGCAAAGTGGAGAGAATGCAAGAAATGAAAATGCAAATAATAATAATTAATTAAGAGAAGAAACAATTTACTTGTGTTTAAAATGAAGCTGAAGAAAAATAAAGATGAAGAAAATGCAAGACAGAGATTAAAAGGCAAAAAAAGTTTAATAAAAAACATTAATAAAAGGCTGGAAAATGAAACAAGACGAAAATGCAAGAAAAGAAAGATGAGGAAATTGCAAGAGATGAAAACATAAAAAAAAATAATAAAAATAAGTTGGAAAAAATGCAAAAAAGAAAACATGAACATGCACCTAAAAGAAATGAAGAAAGATGAAGAAAAGGAAAAGAAAATGAATCGGGGAAGAAAAAGCAAGAAAACAATGAGCAAGAAAGAAAGAAAGAAAGAAAGAAAGAAAAAAAGGAAAGAAAAAAAAGAAAGAAAGAAAGAAAGAAAAAGAAAGAAAAAAAAAAGAAAGAAAGAAAGAAAGAAAGAAAGAAAGAAAGAAAAAAAGGAAAGAAAAAAAAGAAAGAAAGAAAGAAAAAGAAAGAAAAAAAAAAGAAAGAAAGAAATGCAATAACACTGAAAAACTGCAAATAAAAAAAGGGTTAGAGTTTAGGTCTGACCTGCAAATCTGTAAAAAAAGAAAGAAATATGAAAACTGAATAAAAAAAGAACATACAAAAAAAGAAAGAAAGAAAGATCAAATACAAAAAAAAATCAAATTACAAAAAAAAAAAAAGAAAAAGAAAAAAGGTCAGAAAGAAAGAATCTAGGATTGGCAGGGTACAACAGATCTCTGTGGAGCAGAAGGGTCCCAGCCTTTACATTTACTTTATTTCCTTTGATATTTTACACAAATTGTTGCTTCATTATTTTCTTCAGCAAATGCCTTTTGATCTTCACACAGTTTGGCATCAGAAAAACAGCACATTTTCTTTAGTGAGACTTAAGCCCTATATGGAAAAGACTGGTGTTTCTCCATTCAGCTGCATTAAAGCTTTATTCATGAGAAACTGACAAGATCCTCCACTGAACAGAGCAAAAGAGATCAAACAGCCATCACTGAAGCACCTCATTCTCACGTGAGGATCTGTGTCCTGTAACAGCTGGATGACGCACAAATAAAGAACGGTGACAGAGTCGAGCCAGTGTCAGATTGCAGTAATTGTTCATTCTTGGAAAGTAAACAACTACTTTGTATTGTTCACTACATGCTTGAAATAAGACATATTATACTTTGACATCCTCACAGCATCAAAAACCGATTTGGAATTAGACCCACATGACAAAAAAAAAAAACACAATACGAGGATGCAAACTTTAAAAGTCTTTAATACAGAAAAGAGAGGAGAATTGAGTTCATACATATAATACAGCAGTATTCTCCTCAAAATGAATGCAACGGCCAGTGTTTTCTGTCTTGGCAACAGCTTTGATTAATCATTTGTTTTTGTGGGCTCCAGAAAACTGTTCAATGTCATAACATATTACTGTTTTAACATATTATAACTGCAGCCCATAATTAACGTAGATAAACTGTGTACTAATGTTTGGCAAGGGAATAAAGGAAGGGTTTATGTAACTGAAGAAGTTTCAGTACCATTTTTCATTGGCTAATAATTATATAAATCAAATCTACGCCTAATAATTTAAACAAACAAACAAACAAAAAGACCTCATTTTCTTTCACATCTGCATATTTACAAATTTCATAATGGAATTCACGTCACAAAGCAACCCGAAAATATTCATTTTAAAATATGATAACATTAATAGCATCTCTGCTACAATTATTAAGAGGGAAAAAGTGTAACAGATATTAAGGGAAAATTGTCCAAATGCAGAATAAATTAAAAGAAATCCACAGCTGTAGTTCATCTCCATGTGTCTGCTCTGCATCAGGAAAAGCCTAATTTAATATGTCGTATGGTCACTATGAACTGACATATAGATTTCTATGAACTGTTGTTTATTTATACATTTGAAATATTTTCTATTTTTTATTTATATATTACGTAAATATAAATTTTTATATATATATATATATATCAAACATAATATTAAAAATACACAAACAGTTCATATGTATATTTTTAAATGAATATATATATATATTTTTTTTTTTCATTTTTTAAGTTAATTTAAGGCATGTTGTTGCTAATTAAAAACTGCTGTGTTAGGAAAAAAAGCCAAAAAAAAAAAGAGAAAAGTGAATGATAAGTACACTGTAATTGGTAGAAGTGGAAGACTGCGCTCTGCACAGTTCTGACCAGATCCAGATAAAAAAAAAAAAAAAGTCTGAAAGTCTTTTGATTTGTGAGTAACCTAGTGTTAGAAAAAAAATAGAGATGGAAGATCTTCTCTTGACCTGCGGAATGTTTGAGAACGAGTGACGCTGGAATTCCATCAATGGAGGCACATTTCATTCTTCCACTGAATGAAAGACTTCAGACATTCCCTTCAGTGTGGCAGACGGCGCTAAAGATGCTTCAGACCCCTGTGCAGAAAGAGACTTTATTAAATGATTCATCGCAGATTGTCAGATATTAACAGTGTGTTAAAGCACACAAAGGACCTTTAAAATAAAGGTTACTGTATTATCAGGTTTTGCAAGCGCTTCAGTGATGGATAGATCTAGAGTTCGATTCACTCACTGGTGACGGTTGAGTATTTCCAATCTTACATGTTCCCATGCCTCCGTCTCGAGTGGAGCTCGGCGCTGGGCCGCCGTGGCCTGCTGTTTGCCATGGGGCCTCTCCGGATCTCTCTGTGCGTCCTTCTCCATTGTCTGTCACCTGTGGTCCACAGGGGGGAAGAAAACACACAATAGACACTCTCTCAATGAGGGCTGAGGATGATATACACTAGGCAGGCACAGGGTCTGTGAAAAAAAGACACTGCTGCTTCTGCGTCACGCGCATAAATCACATGAAGAAGACACAGATAGATGTTCCACTGTACCCCCACTGACAGACACTCACACACATCAGAAAAATTACACACACTCACACAGACACACACGCATATATGTAAAATGCTGAATATACACAGTGTTAATAGACATAAATGTAGCTTTAAAATGGCAATTTTTGACAAGGCAAAGGCAATACAGTGGAATAAAATTATTATCTTATATTATATTATAAACTCATTTTAAAAAATGACAATATTTTTCAACAAATTCACTACTGTTCAAAGGTTTGGGGTCAGAAAGATTTTTTTTTTTTTAATGTCTAAAATACTGCATATACACATTAGTGTAAATAAATACAAATTAACTTCATAAAAATGTTCAGGCCAAGGGCATAATGGAATACAATTATATTATATTAATTATATTGTATTATATAAAAAATAACTTAATGTTCAGACCAAGGGCAATATAGCTGAATTAAATTGTTGTATTATATTATATTATATTACATTATATTATTAATTTAAAAATACATATATGTTTTAACTTAAATAAAATAAAACAAATTTAAATATAATTTTTTTTAACAGATTTAGTACTGTTCAAAAGTTTAGGTTCAGTACGATGTTTTTGAAAAAAAGACACTTATGTTCATCAAAAGTTTGCATTTATTTGGTCAAAGATACAGTAAAAACTAATATTGTGAAATCAAATTCACAAATTTTCCAATTTATTATTTTTTAAAATGTAATTTATTCCTGTGATCAAAGCTGAATTTTCAGCATCATTACTCCAGTCTTCAGTGTCACATGATCATTCAGAAATCATTCTAATATGCTGATTTCTGATTATTATCAATGTTGAAAACAGTTGTTCTGCTTAATATTTGTGTGGAAACCAGTACACTTTTTTTCAGGATTCTTTGATTAATAGAAAGTGTAAAAAAAAATTTAAAAAAAACTTTTGCAACATTATAAACGTCTTTGTCACTTTTGATAAATCCATGCTGAATAAAAATATTATTATTCTATTATTAAAAATATATTATTAATATATATTTTAAATAGTCAAGGCATATCTTCCATGCAGTTTTCTGTATGAAGAATGAATAACATTTAATCATATTGATTGTTATGCACCAATATGAGACATAGTCAAAAACAGCTGTATTTACATACACCATCAGTCAAAAGCTTAGACACGCTTGACTGAATCTTCTCATAAATGTTTCACATGATCTTAAAAATAATTTAAACCCATCAGCAAACAAAAGCTTTTACTCAAGACTGTTTTGACGCCGATGAGACCAAACATACATTGTATACTCTGACGGCACACAACAGCGCCCTGCATCTCTAAACACGCTCTCAGCTGACCCCGACAACGCAACAACAAAGAAGAGTAGACAGGTCAATCCAGGACATAGATTAATGAGCCATGTGCGTCAATACATTGAGTACACACGCTGCCATTACAATGAGTGTCATCCAACTCCCAATATTAATTTACCAGCGCCAGTTTAAACCGGGTGGATTTCACAATAGAATATTTACTTACACAACAACTGTAGCACAATGAGGCTACAAAGATGAGCCAAGCACTGCTACAGCAGCACCCAAAAAACCTCGCAGGTCCAGACTGCACCCGCAACGTGTTCGGACCTTCTCACTGCACAATGTCAGATTATTCGTTCATCTTATCAAATCTGTCAGAAACAAGCCTCTATTTTACCTCAAAATCAAAAGAAAGAAATTAAACATTATATTCTAACTCAAGAAAGTGCAGTCTATTTTAGGACAATAACATTTAATGACCTTTTTTAAGCACATTTCCCCTGCAATTGTGGGGGAACATTAAAAAAAGAAAACATTGTAATTTTTGTTGTAATCAAATGCTGGGAAGTGACAGTATGACTCATCACTCAATGATTTTTTTTTTTTTTCAAAACTTTTTACAAACTGATGTTCAGTAACCAACTACAAGCAAATATGTCAAGATGTGGCCTCTTTTTTAATTTATAGGTTTGTTGTGGTGGCACATTCCAGTCATAAGTGGTTAAAATATTCTTTATTTTGTTAAAATACATAATATTTTTTCTTATAATAATTAGAAAAATAATACATTTTCAATTCATTTTGCAATGCAAAATTCTTAAATGGAGTCTTTATTTTTTGTTAAAACACATAAAACATACAAAAAGTATTTTACTTAAAATATAATAATAATAATATAGAATTGTCGTAAAAATACGTTTTCAATGCATATTGCAATTCAAATAAAAAATATTGTAATAAAAAAATGTAAATAAATTATACAAAATTTCTTTAAACACACACACACACGAAAAACCAACATACTGTTATTGTGACCTGGCCATATTTTTGTGAGATTTGGCCCCTAAAAAGGTGACCACTATTAATTAAAGTTTTTCTAGGTTGTACTCACAGTGCTGGCTGGTGGCTCAGGAGACTCTGTAATGGACCTCTGTTTTGTGAGAAGATGTGTGCGTGGTAACTGCCCCAGGGGTTGATGGGAAAGCAACTGGGACCTCTTCACTGCAGAAGACACAGCCTGAGCGAAACGAGAGGGCGAAGAGGGCGAGTACGGTTTGGGAGCGGCGAAGCTTCTCAGCTTCTCTAGACTCAGTGAAGGCGTGGGGTTTGTGGGAAGACTCTTCTGGCGGGACACTACAGATGACGGTGGAAATTTGGGAGCTTCGGGTGGAGGTACATCCACCTCTGCAGTTCGAGGTGCATCACTGGCTCTTGCTTCCCATTGCACCGGTGGCGGTGGAGGTGGTAAGTTGTCCAGTGCAGGAAACACATCTGATTGCGGGCTTTTTGCGGTTTCTTTGGGCCGGGTCACAGGACTGCTACAACAACTGCTGCTATTACTGCCCACACTTGCTCTGCGAACGGCCGCGGAGGTTACGTAATCCCCGGGTGTTCGTTTGTGCTGCGGCTGGCGGAAAGAAGCTGGTTTGGGTCTTGTTGCCGGTGGAACTTTCTTGCATTCAGTTCCTTCTACAGGGGATGAAATGGCAGCTAGAGGTGAAGTACAAGGACTAGTTTGCGCAAAGACGTTCTGATGGCCGTTAACAGCAACTGTGCCGAAATAGAACTTTTGATTTTAATAATGAATTTAATGAAATTAATGAAATTAACATTAACTACGATTAATAAATGTTTCATAAGTATTTGTCATTGTTAACTAATGCAGTTAACTAATGTTAAAAAATTGAACCTTATTGTAAAGTGTAACCGTTTCATCATATATTTATATTTTAATTCTCTATCATATTTATTGCAATTACCAAAAATCATATTGAATCATTCTAATTTTTATTCAACAATAACAACAGGAATAGTAAGGTATTCCGATGGGTTTCTAAGCTTTGCTAGAGTGTTCTGGCTTGTTTTTAGGAGTTGATAGGGTCCTTCAGGCTGGTTCGGTAGCCAACCCTCTACATTGCGAGTAAATCACTCGCATATGCGACTAAATCTTCACTCTGGAGACTAAATTATGTCTAATATTAGCCAATTTCTAATAAATTCTCAGATTTTACTCGCCAGTGTGTGAGTTGGAGGCTAAGTATAAGTTTAGCTCAGATATATTTTCACTCGCCGAACACTCTCTGACTGAGCGCTTCAGAGTTTCACTCTCCGCCAAGCGATCTGTGCTGTTTTTCAGTTCATCTGAATGGATGTGCAACGCACCTGTATTTAACGTACCGTAAACTCTAGTGTGAAGGCGCACGACTCGCCGTCGCTTTGTTTCACACACACGCAGCGAGAGAGGGAGAGAGAGAATTGACGCGCTACCTATGCGCGCTACATGTAAACGATATTCTTTGTTGTATTTTCCTGTCCAAATAACGGAGTTCCTTTGGAATTCTTCCGCTTTTAAGAACTACCGCTTTCCCCGCAAACGGCAATCTCATTGGCTGGTGCTCACCTATTATCGTCCCTGTTTTGATTTCAGCAAATCAGTTCGAGCGAACGCACACAACCTGATTAATATTCATGAATCCAGTAGCTCATTAATCCTTGGTGCGTTTTATATTGTTCTTATTAGCAGAATTCGTATCATTATTATCTTGTCAGTATTTTTGTTACTTTTTCCCCAATTTTTTTTTTTTTTTACAGAAACACTGAATGACCAAAAAAGCACCACCACCAGTCCGAAGTTCAGTTAAAATGACTAATATGCATTCATACATGGTTATCAAGTTTTAATTCTAATTACTAAAGTTCTACCATTAAATAATACTTGATTATCATATAATGCTTGACTGACTGATGTTAAGAGTGTACTTTCAGATATTTATAAAACTGTGCCATTTTACAAACACGCACACATATATATATATATATATTTATCAGTCTGGCGAGTAAACTAAAAAATTTACTAGCCAATGGCGATTCAATTGCCAAGATGTTCGTAGAGGGCTGGTAGGGTAGTTTGGTAACACTTTACTTAAAGCCTTTATGTATAATGCATTGTAAAAGCAGATTTAATGCATTAATTATGCCTTGTAATGCACCTTATAATGCATTGTACAATCTCATGAATAATTGTAACCGCAGTTAATACACTATAACATTTATCAATTCATTGTTACACTATGCATTTTAAATTTGGATATAATTATTTACGACAAGATGTAATGTATTACAATGCACATTATGAATAATTATAATTCCCTTTAATAACCCTTTATAATGCATTATACATAAAGGCTTTACGTGAAGTGTTACTGGCAGTTTTAGTTGTGCTCTTAGATTTGTATAAAATGAACACTACTGTACAGTACATACGCCGCATCTGTGGACTGGTCACATGATGGATTGTCTCTGGCCATCCTACTTTCCAGAATCTCTGAATCCTGAGAGGGAGTTGCCGTCCCAGCCCGGCCCGAGTCCAGAGAGATGTCAGCAGACAGGTTGAGGCTGCTGTCGTCGTCCTCCTCCTCCTCCACAGCGGCCACCTGACCTTCTGCGCTCACATTCATCTCCTCCTGTTCCCTGATCTCCTCCAGAGGAGACGCCAACGCCACTTCTGCAGTGTAAAATCACAACGAATGCACAAAGTCAAATGCTTAAATATTACAAAGTGCAGCCCAATCCTTTGAGCTCTTCACTGTATCCCCCAGCAACACTAACTCAGGGGTTTCCACATCAAACTGAAGTGATGTCCATTCTCAGCTGATAGAGGGAGAGATCTGGCATATGCAGCATTAATATGGATTCTCTGCTCCTCAGACTGAGCGAGCGCCGTTAATTAAGACGTCTCGCTGCTCTCGCCTGATTCAGCTCTTCAATCGCCCTCTCTGGAGACCAGCGAGATGAAGAAACATCCAGAGAGCTGTCTCTGTGATCTCTCTCAGACATTTAGATTCAAAGCCCTTCTGCAGCCGCTCTTTCTATCTCTGCTCCACTCTGAGCTCGTATTTATGCGTTTTGGGGCTCTTTATTTATTTATTTGCTTTCTCAGTCTCTCTCAGTGAAGTTATTAGATCTTATCAGCCAATCAGTGTTGACACGACCCTGCATTGAATAAAGCCTTGTGACACAATGCAACTCAGCAAAAGTTGCAGAAGCATTCAACACACTTGTAAGAAACAAAAGCGAGTGAATGATCCCTGCTGGGTCTCGGGAGGCCATCTTTGTATAGTTATGAACAAAAAGAAAAGTCTGCCTGCAGATTTTGGCTCGTGATTAGAGAGCATTTACACTCCTCATCTCACTTTTTACTTCACAGAAAACCCCCATCTTAAGAAAACAATGTATTTTTATGAGTGCTTTCAGAGATAAATCATATAAAAGTTACAGAGAGATGTTTTTTCTTAATGCATTTACTCCACAGATGTGCAATGCAGGTGAGCTGTATATAGCAAAGTGTGCAATGCTTCAATGATTACAAGAGGACTGGTTTGTTGCATCTCTTGCTTCCAGCACAGACATGGTCTAAAGTGAAATTTGATTAAAAGATTACATTTGTTTGTTTTTTTTACAGAATTTCATGGTTCAGATAAAGAGAGTGGTCAGGTCAACGAGATGAAAACAGCAGAGATGAGACGAGAACTTAATGCATTTACTCCACAGATGTGCAATGCAGGTGAGCTGTATACAGCAATGTGTGCAATGCTTAAATTTTTACAAGAGGACTGGTTTGTTGCATCTCTTGCTTCCAGCACAGACATGGTCTAAAGTGAAATTTGATTAAAAGATTACATTTGTTTGTTTTTTTACAGAATTTCATGGTTCAGATAAAGAGCGTGGTCAGGTCAACGAGATGAAAACAGCAGAGATGAGACGAGAAAAAGATGAAGAGAATATGGGCGAGGTACCACGTCATTACAATCTGTTCGAAAAGAAACAAAAAGAATAAAACTGATCCAAAGAGACGTGATTTATATAACAAATGAGAAAAGTTTAAATGCTGTAAAAGCAAACAAAGTTAGTTACATACTGTGTAAATCTGTAAAAATGTAAAGAGCAGAAAAGCTACAGACGAATGGATGGGTGGATAGAATAATTGGTAGATTAATAGAATGATCTGATAGAATGAAAATGATAATGACAGAAAGTACGATAGAAAGTATGATAGAACGACAGATAGATAGATAGATAGATAGATAGAACGACAGACAGATAGATAGATAGAACGACATATAGATAGATAGATAGAACGACAGATAGATAGATAGAATGACATATAGATAGATAGATAGATAGATAAAATGATAGCGAAAGAAAGTACGATTAAAAGTACGATAGAACAACAGAACAATAGATTGATAGATAGACAGACAGACAGACAGATAGAGATGGATAGATAGACAGTAGGGACGGGAAGATTCCCCGATTCGCTCGGTGCATCTTCATAAAAAGTTAACGATGCGATGCATCGGTTTAAAAAGTGTGCATCGGCTACAAGTTGTCATTTATATCGCGATGCATCGTTTCTAACATATTTGCATCGGTAAAAAACTATTTATTCTTAAGCAGCCCTTAATGTCGATCATGGATCAAATCGATCCACCATGACAAACAGCGAATATATCTGTGCGGAGACGTTGCGTTTTCCTCAGTGCATAACTGACATGTCACAGGTATATTTTTCATCTGTAAATGTTATAAAGTCATGCAAACATGTCCATTTTGCAGTCAGGAGTGGGCGAGGCACGCGAGAGCAACAAGCGCAGCTGTGTGCATGCGCACTAAACAGAAGGAGCGCAATCGAATAGGAGAACAATAATTCTGAATAAAATATACATTTTGCTAAAAAATTTGTTTTTTGGACATTAAATGTGTCTTTTGTAGAATTTTAAACCTATACATAAATTGTATTTTTATGATAGCAGTAACTGTAAGTGGACTATTGTAATAGGTAAATCAAATGTAAGCTAGTACAGTACTAATTACTAAGCTCTGATGAGTTAATGTGTATTTCTTATACCAGTTAAAATATAGTAATTTTCTTTATTAATTTGTAATAAAACCAGAGAGAAAGGCTGCATGGCTAGAAACTGTAAAAAAAAATAATAATAAAAAAAAAATAATAATAGTATGTGAGACGGTGGTAATATCATTGTGTTCCTATTGGTCAGTAGAGGAGCTTAGCTCCCTAATAGACAGACAGACAGACAGACAGATAAAATGGTAATGACAGAAAGTACGATAGAACAATAGAAAGACAGAACGATAGATAGACAGACAGATAGATAAAATGGTAATGACAGAAAGTACGACAGAACGATAGAAAGACAGAACGATAGATAGACAGACAGACAGACAGACACAGACAGATAGATAAAATGATAACGACAGAAAGTAAAATAGAATGATAGAAAGACAGAACGACAGACAGACAGACAGATAGATAGATAGACAGACAGACAAAATGGTAATGACAAAAAGTACGATAGAAAGACAGAATGATAGATAGACAGACAGACAGATACCGCATGAATGATAGACAAACAGACAGACAGACAGACATACAGACAGACACAGACAGACAGACAAAATGGTAACGACAGAAAGTATGATAGAAAGACAGAACGACAGACAGACAGACAGATAGATAGATAGATAGATAGAGACAGACAGACAGACAGACAGACAGACAGACAGACAGACAGACAGACAGACAGACAGACAGACAGACAGACAGACAGACAGACAGACAGACAGACAGACAGACAGACAGACAGACAGACAGACAGACAGACAGACAGACAGACAGACAGACAGACAGACAGACAGACAGACAGACAGACAGACAGACAGACAGACAGACAGACAGACAGACAGACAGACAGACATACAGACAGACACAGACAGACAGACAAAATGGTAACGACAAAAAGTACGATAGAAAGACAGAACGATAGACAGACAGACAGACAGATAAAATGGTAACGACAGAAAGTACGATAGAACGATAGAAAGACAGAACGACAGACAGACAGATAAAATGATAACGACAGAAAGTACGATAGAAAGACAGAACGACAGACAGACAGACAGACAGACAGACAGACAGAGAGATAGATAGATAGACAGACAGACAAAATGGTAATGACAAAAAGTACGATAGAAAGACAGAATGATAGATAGACAGACAGACAGATACATATAGATAAGATAGACAAACAGACAGACAGACAGACATACAGACAGACAGACAAAATGGTAACGACAGAAAGTATGATAGAAAGACAGAACGTAGATAGACAGACAAACAGACAGACAGACAAACAGACATACAGACAGACACAGACAGATAGATAGACAGACAGACAGACAGACAAAATGGTAACGACAGAAAGTACGATAGAACGATAGACAGACAGACAGACAGATAGACAGATAGACAAAATGGTAACGGCAGAAAGTACGATAGAAAGACAGAACGATAGACAGACAGACAGACAGACAAAATGGTAATGACAGAAAGTACGATAGAACGATAGAAAGACAGAA